ATCAAAGACAGTATACACAGATCACAACATAAAAGAGGTACAGACATGTATGCACAGGGCTCCTGACCAGCAAAATGTGATCATTCATGAGAGTGTCTTCACAAACTTCAACTTCAATAACAAAAACATACAGTGGGAACAAGTTAGCCATGTCCTAAATGAAACAAGCTGAGAAGATATCCTAAACAACATGGATGCGAACCTTTGCCTAGAAAAAATTAAATCTTCGGTTCTTGAGGTCTGCTCAAGGCACATTGAATTAAGAAAAAGAAAGAGAAGGTGTAAACTAGAAAGAGAGAGATGCTGCCTATACAGATGAAAGCAAAGAATCACAGAGCATGCTGAGGGGGGGGGGCAATATATCTGAAATACGAAGGGAGGCACTGGTCAGTGAAATAGCAAATATCAAATTTAAGCTGAAGGAATCTTACTGGAGACAAGAATCTCATGAAGAACTAAAAGCCATAAAGGAAACTGGAAAATAAAATACTTCCTCTCTTATGCCAAATCTAAGGACAAACAACATCCAGTACAGTGGACCCCCGCTTAACGATCACCTCCAAATGCGACCAATTATGTAAGTGTATTTATGTAAGTGCGTTTGTACGTGTATGTTTGGGGGTCTGAAATGGACTAATCTACTTCACAATATTCCTTATGGGAAAAAATTCGGTCAGTACTGGCACCTGAACATACTACTGGAATGAAAAAAGTTCGTTAACCGGGGGTCCACTGTATTGGGCCCCTGCTTAGGCAAGATGGGACATACACAGATGAGAGCAAAGAAATGAGTGAGATACTAAAGTCTCAATACGGCTCATGTTCAGCGAGCCATTACCCAGACTAAGGGTCGACAATCTAAATGAATTCTTTATGAACAAGACCCAAAATCTGGTCATCTCAAAAATCTCTGATATTATCCTAATACCACAAAACTTTGAAAAGGCAATATATGACATGCCCATGCACTCTGCCCCAGGCCCAGACTCATGGAACTCTGTGTTCATCAAGAACTGCAAGAAGCCCCTGTCACATGCCTTCAGCATTCTGTGGAGAGGGAGCATGGACACAAGGGTCATCCCACCCTCACTAAAAACAACAGACATAGCCCCACTCTACAAAGGTGGCAGAAAAGAAGTTGCAAAGAACTACAGACTGATAGTAACATTCCATATCATAAAAATCTTTGCAAGGGTTCTAAGAAGCAAAATTGCCAGCCATCTAGATACCTGGAGTGGGTTTTGGAGGTCGACACCCTCGTGGCCCAGTCTGTGACCAGGCCTCATGGTGGATCAGGGTCTCATCAACCAGGCTGTTGCTCGCATGCAACCAGATATACGAACCACAGCCCTGCTGGTCAGGTACTGACTTTAGGTGCCTGTCCAGTACCTTTTTGAAGACAGCCAGGGATCTATTGGTAATACCCCTTATGTATGCTGAAAGGCAGTTGAACAGTCTTGGGCCCCTGACACTTTTTTGTGTTGTCCCTTATCGTGCTAGTGGCACCCCTGCTTTTCATTGCGAGGATGTTGCATCATCTGCCTAGTCTCTTACTTTCATAGGGAGTGATTTTCGTGTGCAAGTTTGGTACTAATCCCTCTAGGATTTTCCAAGTATATATAATCATGTATCTCTCCCGCCTGTATTCTAGGAAATACAGGTTGAGGAACTTCAAGCGTTCCCAGTAATTTAGGTGTTTTATCACAGTTATGTGTGCTGTGAAGGTTCTCTACATTTTCTAGGTCAGGAATTTCACCTGCCTTGAAAGTTGTTGTTAGTGTACAGCAATATTCCAGCCTGGATAGAACAAGCGACCTAAAGAGTGTCATCATGGGCTTGGTAACCCTAGTTTTGAAGGTTCTCATTATCCATCCTGTCATTTTTCTAGCAGATGCAATTGATACACTGTAATGGTCTTTGAAGGTGAGATCCTCTGACTTGATCACTTCTAGGTCTTTTACATGAGTTTTTCGTTCTATTGTGTGGTTGGAATTTGTTTTATAATCCAATATATTTTAATTACCTCACGTTTTTCCATATCGGAGTAATTGAAATTTCTCATCATTGAACTTCATATTGTTTTCTGCAGCCCATTTAAAGATTTGGTTGATGTCCACCTGGAGTCTTGTGGTGTCTGCAATGAAGGACAATGTCATGCAAATTCGGGTGTCATCTGCAAAGGAAGACTCGGTGCTGTGACTTATTTCCCTGTCTATGTCAGATATGAGGATGATGAACAGAATGGGAGCAGTTATTCCTTTATTATGCATTTTGTGTGCTATTACACCATGGTCACACTTGCAAAGACTTCTGCAGAGTCTGTGTATACTACATCTGCATTTTGTTTGTCTTTTAGAGCATCCAGGACCTTGTCACAGTTGTCCAGTAGTTGGGACAGACAGGAGCGACCTGCTCTAAACCCATGTTGCCCTGGGTTGTGCTACTGATGGGTATCTAGATGGGTGGCAATCTTGCTTCTTAGAACCTTTTCAAAGATTTTTATAGGGTAAGTTAGAGCTATCGGTCTGTAATTCTCTGCTATTGCTTTACTGCACCCTTTGTGGAGTGGGGCTATGTCTGTTGTTTTTAGTAGCTGTGGGACGACCCCTGTGTCCGTGCTCCCTCTCCATAGGATGTTAAAAGCACATGATAGGGGATTCTTGCAGTTCTTGATGAACATGGAGTTCCATGTACCTGGGCCTGGGGCAGAGTGCATGGGCATGTCATTTATTGCCTTTTTGAAGTCATTTGGCATCAGGATAATATCAAATAGGTTTGAGTCTACCAAATTCTATCTCTCATAAAAAATTCATTTAGGTCATTGGCTCTCAGTCTGGTTAGAAGCTCGCTAAAAACCGAGTCATATTGGGACTTGAGTAGCTCACTCATATCCTTCCTGTCATCTGTGTAGGACCCATCTTGTTTAAGTAGGGGCCCAATACTGGATGTTGTTTTTGGCTTTGATTTGGCATAAGAAAAGAACTATTTTGGGTTTCTTTCAATTTCATTTATGGCTTTTAGTTCTTCCTGTGTATCTTGGCTCCTATAAGATTCCTTCATGTTTGCTATTTCTCTGACCAGTGTCTCCCTACGTATTACAGATAAATTGGTCTCTTTTAGCTGCTCTGTTATTCTTTGTCTTCACCTGTATAGGGAGTGCCTTTTTTTACTATTTTATTATCACACTGGCCGATTCCCACCAAGGCAGGGTGGCCCGAAAAAGAAAAACTTTCACCATCATTCACTCCATCACTGTCTTGCCAGAAGGGTGCTTTACACTACAGTTTTTAAACTGCAACATTAACACCCCTCCTTCAGAGTGCAGGCACTGTACTTCCCATCTCCAGGACTCAAGTCCAGCCTGCCGGTTTCCCTGAACCCCTTCATAAATGTTACTTTGCTCACACTCCAACAGCACGTCAAGTATTAAAAACCATTTGTCTCCATTCACTCCTATCAAACACGCTCACGCATGCCTGCTGGAAGTCCAAGCCCCTCGCACACAAAACCTCCTTTACCCCCTCCCTCCAACCTTTCCTAGGCCGACCCCTATCCCGCCTTCCTTCCACTACAGACTGATACACTCTTGAAGTCACTCTGTTTCGCTCCATTCTCTCCACATGTCTGAACCACCTCAACAACCCTTCCTACACCATACACCTGCAACATCTGCCATATTGCCCCCCTATCCACCCTGTCATACGCCTTTTCCAAATCCATAAATGCCACAAAGACCTCTTTAGCCTTATCTAAATACTGTTCACTTATATGTTTCACTGTAAACACCTGGTCCACACACCCCCTACCTTTCCTAAAGCCTCCTTGTTCATCTGCTATCCTATTCTCCGTCTTACTCTTAATTCTTTCAATAGTAACTCTACCATACACTTTACCAGGTATACTCAACAGACTTCTCCCCCTATAATTTTTGCACTCTCTTTTGTCCCCTTTGCCTTTATACAAAGGAACTATGCATGCTCTCTGCCAATCCCTAAGTACCTTACCCTCTTCCATACATTTATTAAATAATTGCACCAACCACTCCAAAACTGTATCCCCACCTGCTTTTAACATTTCTATCTTTATCCCATCAATCCCGGCTGCCTTACCCCCTTTCATTTTACCTACTGCCTCACGAACTTCCCCCACACTCACAACTGGCTCTTCCTCACTCCTATAAGATGTTATTCCTCCTTGCCCTATACACGAAATCATGATAATATACGATGGAAAATCCTTGAGGGATTAGTACCAAACTTCCACACGAAAATCGCTTCCTGTGAAAGCAAAAGACTCGGCAGGAGATACAACATTCCCCCAATGAAAAGCAGGGGGGGCCATGAGTACACTGAGAGACAACACATAAAGTGTCAGGGGCCCAAGACTGTTCAACTGCCTCCCAGCATACATAAGGGGGATTACCAATAGACCCCTGGCTGTCTTCAAGAAGGCACTGGACAGGCACATAAAGTCAGTACCTGACCAGCTGGGCTGTGGTTCATACGTCAGTTTGCGTGTGTCCAGCAGTAACAGCCTGGTTGATCAGACCCTGATCCACCATGAGGCCTGGTCTCAGATTGGGCCGTGGGGGTGTTGACCCCCGAAACCCTCTCCAGCTATACAAGGTATACAGGCCTAGCTGACATAAATGACATACTACTACATGTATATAGAAAGCCACTTGTTATGCAGAGCATTTCAGGCAGTTTAGGTCAGTTTTGTCCCAGGATGCGACCCACAGTCGTCTCACACCCAGGTACCCATTTTACTGATAGGTAACATAGACAACCAGTGTAAGGAAACATGCCCAATGTTTTCACTCGTCAGGAATTGAACCTGGACCCTGGCCGTGTGAAGCGAGAGCTTTAGCCACCAAGGCCACAGGGCACAATAGGGTTTGGAATGGACCAAAATTTTGTCTGGTTTCCATTTCCAGTTTGTAAGTTAGTTGTGAATTATTTACAATACAGTATATTGACATATTTATACTCTAACCCTAGATTCGGCTGGTACGTCTCCAACAACAGTTATACCCAAACAGATCTCATCACAGACCACTGGCGTTCCTTCCAGCGACCAGAAGTAACACAGTTGTTTGAACTCACCCCAGAAGAAGATTCTCAGTTAAGGGAACTTACAAAAACTTCCACTGGGTAAGGTCCCTAGGTGCTGTTATTTATTGAAATTTCACTAGCATTCTTTTTATTACTGCAGTAGTTCAGTGCATAAATTGTGGTAATTCACTTAAGGTATAGTAACCCCTTCTCCTGTATACATTACTAAAGTTAGAAAGAGAAACATGTTTATCTTTTTGGGCCACCCTTCCTTGGTGGGAGATGGCCAGTGCATTGAAAGAAGAATTTTAATATTTTTTGGTTACTATTAGACATATCATGAATTAAATAATGTAACACTGTGTGTACTGGGTTGTACAAATGGTTATTTAGTTTTGTACTAAATTCTAAATTATTATTATTATTATTATTATACTCAAAACTAAGAGCTAAACCTACTAGGGTCATACATCACTAAAATCTACAGAGGTTATAATGATAAAATTTAAATACATATATAATTCCAAAACTATTGATCAGATCCAGATTAAATTTTTATATTTAAAATAGCCCAATATTATTATTATTATTATCATAACTGCTAAATCCACAAGGGTCATACAGTGCTGCAATAGCCCAGTAGAACTAGTAGACCTAAAAAAAGAAAAATTGGAAACATCAGTAGGGAACAGAAAAAAAAAGTAGTTTTAGGCAGCCTATAATATATCTTAGTTTTAGGCAGCCTATAATATATCTTAGTTTTAGGCAGCCTATAATGTATCTTAGTTTTAGGCAGCCTATAATGTATCTTAGTTTTAGGCAGCCTATAATGTATCTTAGTTTTAGGCAGCCTATAATGTATCTTAGTTTTAGGCAGACCATAATGTATCTTAGTTTTAGGCAGCCTATAATGTATCTTAGTTTTAGGCAGACCATAATGTATCTTAGTTTTAGGCAGCCTATAATATATCTTAGTTTTAGGCAGCCTATAATGTATCTTAGTTTTAGGCAGCCTATAATGTATCTTAGTTTTAGGCAGACCATAATATATCTTAGTTTTAGGCAGCCTATAATGTATCTTAGTTTTAGGCAGACCATAATATATCTTAGTTTTAGGCAGACCATAATGTATCTTAGTTTTAGGCAGACCATAATGGATCTTAGTTTTAGGCAGCCTATAATGTATCTTAGTTTTAGGCAGACCATAATGTACCTTAGTTTTAGGCAGACCATAATGGATCTTAGTTTTAGGCAAACCATAATATATCTTAGTTTTAGGCAGACCAAAATATATCTTAGTTTTTGGCAGACCATAATATATCTTAGTTTTAGGCAGACCATAATATATCTTAGTTTTTGGCAGACCATAATATATCTTAGTTTTAGGCAGACCATAATGTATCTTAGTTTTAGGCAGACCATAATATATCTTAGTTTTAGGCAGACCATAATATATCTTAGTTTTAGGCAGACCATAATACAGTGGACCCCCGGTTAACGATATTTTTTCAATCCAGAAGTATGTTCAGGTGCCAGTACTGACCGAATTTGTTCCCATAAGGAATATTGTGAAGTAGATTAGTCCATTTCAGACCCCCAAACATACACGTACAAAAGCACTTACATAAATACACTTACATAATTGGTCACATTCGGAGGTGATCGTTATGTGGGGGTCCACTGTATATCTTAGTTTTAGGCAGACCATAATATATCTTAGTTTTAGGCAGCCCATAATATATCTTAGTTTTAGGCAGACCATAATATATCTTAGTTTTAGGCAGCCTATAATGTATCTTAGTTTTAGGCAGGCCATAATATATCTTAGTTTTAGGCAGACCATAATGTATCTTAGTTTTAGGCAGACCATAATGTATCTTAGTTTTAGGCAGACCATAATATATCTTAGTTTTTGGCAAACCATAATATATCTTAGTTTTAGGCAGACCATAATGGATCTTAGTTTTAGGCAGCCTATAATGTATCTTAGTTTTAGGCAGACCATAATATATCTTAGTTTTAGGCAGACCATAATGTATCTTAGTTTTAGGCAGACCATAATATATCTTAGTTTTAGGCAGACCATAATATATCTTAGTTTTAGGCAGCCCATAATATATCTTGGTTTTAGGCAGACCATAATATATCTTAGTTTTAGGCAGCCTATAATGTATCTTAGTTTTAGGCAGACCATAATATATCTTAGTTTTAGGCAGACCATAATATATCTTAGTTTTAGGCAGCCCATAATATATCTTAGTTTTAGGCAGACCATAATATATCTTAGTTTTAGGCAGCCCATAATGTATCTTAGTTTTAGGTGGCCCATAATGTATCTTGTAAAGAATTCTTTGTTTGATAGTTCATCACCTTGCAGGTACTACTGTGATGCTGACTATTGTAATCAAGGCATATACACTCCATCACATTGCAACAATGAGACCCACTGTGCAACATTATTTGTCGGGAGTTTCAGTGAGTCAATTCATTTTGTATGATGTAATTTATTCATTATTATGGGGGAGCACTAAACCCATAGGGATTATACAGCACCTGTGGGGAGGAGGGGATGAAAGGCATTCAGCCTTAATTGAAGATCCCTTCACCAGCATCAAGGAACCTCTCTTGAGGTTTATTTATTTATTTGTTTATTTTCCATGGGGAAGTAGAACAGAATTCTTCCTCTGTAAGCCTTACGTGTCGTAAGAGGCGACTAAAATGCTGGGAGCAAGGGGCTAGTAACCCTTTCTCCTGTATATATTACTAAATTTAAGAGAAACTTTCATTCTTCCTTTTGGGCCACCCTGCCTTGGTGAGATACAGCCAGTCTGTTGAAAGAAGAAAAAGATATATATATATATATATGTATATTTAACAAGTTGGTCATCTCCCACCGAGGCAGGGTGACCCAAAAAGAAGAAAATCCCCAAAAAGAAAATACTTTAATCATCATTCAACACTTTCACCTCACTCACACATAATCACTGTTTTTTTCAGAGGTGCTCAGAACACAACAGTTTAGAAGCATATACGTATAAAGATACACAATATATCCCTCCAAACTGCCAATATCCCAAACCCCTCCTTTAAAGTGCAGGCATTGTACTTCCCATTTCTAGGACTCAAGTCTGTCTATATAAAAATAACCGGTTTCCCTGAATCCCTTCACTAAATATTACCCTGCTCACACTCCAACAACTCGTCAGGTTCCAAATACCATTCATCACCATTCACTCCTATCTAACACACTCACGCATGCTTGCTGGAAGTCCAAGCCCCTCGCCCACAAAACCTCCTTTACCCCCTCCCTCTAACCTTTTTGAGGATGACCCCTACCCCGCCTTCCTTTCCCTACAGATTTATATGCTCTCGATATCTCTACTTTGATCCATTCTCTCTAAATGACAAAACCACCTCAACAACCCCTCTTCATCCCTCTGACTAATAACTTTTATTAACTCCACACCTTCTCTGAATTTTCTGCACGATATTTACACCACACATTGCCCTTAGACAGGACATCTCAACTGCCTCCAACCGTCTCCTTGCTGCAGCATTCACAACCCAAGCTTCACACCCATATAAGAGTGTTGGTACCACTATACTTTCATACATTGCCTTCTTTGCCTCCATAGATAATGTTTTTTTGTCTCCACATATATTTCAATGCACCACTCACCTTTTTTCCTTCATCATTTCTATGGTTAATTAACCTCATCCTTCATAAACCCATCCTCCACAAAGGAGGAGACCAAACAGAGTTGAATAACTATAGGCCAATATCCAACTTACACCCTCTCTCAAAAATCTTCGAAAAATTAATTCATAAACGAATCTACTCCTACCTTATCTCCCATAACATACTCAACCCCTGCCAATTTGGATTCAGGCCTAATAAAAATACTAATGATGCTATTATACACATGCTAGAACATATATACACTGCAATAGAGAAAAAAGAAGTCCCACTGGGGATCTTCATTGACTTACGTAAAGCTTTTGATACAGTTGACCATGACTTGCTCCACGTAAAATTGTCACACTATGGTATAAGAGGGCACTCCCTCAACTACCTCAAGTCTTACCTCAGCAACAGAAGCCAATATGTGTACGCAAATGGGGCAAACTCTTCTGCACAACCAATTACAGTTGGTGTCCCACAGGGAAGTGTCCTTGGCCCTCTTCTCTTTCTCCTATACATAAATGACCTTCCAAATGCTTCGCAATTACTCAAACCCACACTATTTGCAGATGACACTACATACGTCTTCTCTCACCCGAGCCCAGTCACGCTAGCCAATACTGTAAATACCGAATTACAGAAAATATCTACCTGGATGAGGACTAACAAACTTACACTAAACATTGACAAAACCTACTTCATTCAATTTGGTAACAGAGCTACAGATGTCCCTCTTAACATAATGATAAATGGATCACCTATCACAAAACTAACAGAGGGAAAATTCTTAGGAATCCACCTTGATAATAGACTCAAATTTCATACACATATACATCAAATTTCTAAGAAAATTTCCAAGACTGTAGGCATACTATCGAAGATACGGTACTATGTTCCACAGTCAGCCCTCCTGGCCCTATATCACTCTCTTATTTACCCCTATCTCACCTATGGAATTTGTGCATGGGGCTCAACAACAATTAACCATCTCAGACCACTAATTACCCAACAAAAGGCTGCAGTTAGAATGATAACAAATTCTCACTACAGGCAGCACACTCCACCAATATTCAATACACTAAACCTACTCACCATACAAAACATCCATACTTATTACTGCACCTATTACATACATAGAACACTTAACTCTGATATTAACCCTCCCCTCAAACATCTCCTTGCCAACCTCAACAGAACACATGACCATAACACAAGGCACAGATCACTCTTTGATGTTCCTCGTGTCCATCTCACGCTATGCAAAAACTCAATGCACATAAAAGGCCCTAAAATCTGGAATTCATTACCTGTAAATATAAAAGAAACACAACCTGTTTATAAATTCAAGTCTCTTCTCAAAGATTACTTACTCACCCAAAACCAAATAAATACTGAATAACTGAACATTATAAATTGTATATCTTAAATGTTTCTCACAATTATATCACATAAATGTTAAACCTAAAACCCAATCTAACTTTATTATTTTTTAAATACACTACCTAACAGAATCATTACCTAACTGAATGCAACCATATGACCTGTCTTTGTAATACTCACTTGTGCTTTATAGTTATCTGTTTACATTAATGTTTTATCACTGATTTCATCATTGCTTAGTAGCAGCGCTGTATAGTCCTTGTGGCTTAGCGCTTCTTTTTGATTATAATAATAATAATAATCATTGCTTAGTTAATCTTAAGTTAATTTTAAGCCAGCCCGTAATGCTATGCATAGTATAAGTGGCTTTGGCATACTGCTCTTATCTGTATTTTTTTGTACCTCTGTATGTGTGCACAAATTGGAAATAAATAAATAAATAAATAAATAAATAAAATCCGCTGACACGTCAACTCCCAAATACAGTGGACCCCTGGTTAACGATATTTTTTCACTCCAGAAGTATGTTCAGGTGCCAGTACTGACCGAATTTGTTCCCATAAGAAATTGTGAAGTAGATTAGTCCATTTCAGACCCCCAAACATACACGTAGAAACGCACTTACATAAATACACTTACATAATTGGTCACATGCGGAGGTAATCGTTATGCGGGGGTCCACTGTATCTGAAAACATTCACTTCTTCCATACTCCGTCTCTTCAATTTTTCTTTATCTAAATCATTTGATACCCTCATCACCTTACTCTTATCTATGTTCACCTTCAACTTTCTACCTTTACATACCCTCCCAAACTTGTCCACTAACCTTTGCAACTTTTCTTTAGAATCTCCCATAAGCACAGTATCATCACCAAAAAGTAACTGTGTCAATTCCCAATTTGTATTTGATTCCCCATAATTTAATCCCACCCCTCTCCCCAACATCCTGACATTTACTTCTCTTACAACCCCATCTATAAATATGTATTAAACAACCATGGTGACATTACACATCCCTGTCTAAGACCTACTTTTACCAGGAAGTAGTCTCCCTCTCTTCTACACACCCTAACCTGAACCTCATTATCCTCATAAAAACTCTTTACAGCATTTAGTAACTTACTACCTATTCCATATACAGTGGACCCCCGCATAACGATTACCTCCGAATGCGACCAATTATGTAAGTGTATTTATGTAAGTGCGTTTGTACCTGTATGTTTGGGGGTCTGAAATGGACTAATCTACTTCACAATATTCCTTATGGGAATAAATTCGGTCAGTACTGGCACCTGAACATACTTATGGAGTGAAAAAATATCGTTAACCGGGGGTCCACTGTACTTGCAACATCTGCTACATTGCTCCCCTATCCACTCTATTATAAGCCTTTTCTAAATCCATAAATGCAATGAAAACTTTTTTTTTATTATTAACACATTGGCTGATTCCCACCAAGGCAGGGTGGCCTGAAAAAGAAAAACTTTCATCATCATTCACTCCATCGCTGTCTTGCCAGAGGGGTGCTTTACACTGCAGTTTATAAAACTGAAACATTAACACCCCTCCTTCAGAATGCAGACACTGTACTTTCCATTTCCAGGACTCAAGTCCGGCCTGCCAGTTTCCCTGAATCCATTGATAAATGTTACTTTGCTCACACTTCAACAGCACATCAAGTATTAAAAATCATTTGTCTCACACATGCTTGCTGGAAGTCCAAGCCCCTTTCACACAAAACCTCCTTTACCTCCTCCCTCCAACCTTTCCTTGGCCGACCCTTACCCCGCCTTCCCTCCACTACAGATTTATACACTCTCGAAGTCATTCTGTTTCATTCCATTCTCTCTACATGTTCGAACCACCTCAACAACCCTTCCTCAGCCCTCTGGACAACAGTTTTAGCAATCCCACACCTCATCCTAACTTCCAAACTACAAATTCTCTGCATTATATTCACACCACACATTGCCCTCAGACATGACATCTCCTCTGCCACCAGCCTTCTCCTCCCTGCAACATTCATCACCCATGCTTCACACCCATATAAGAGCGTTGGTAAAACTATACTCTCATACATTCCCCTCTTTGCTTCCAAGGACTAAGTTCTCTGTCTCCACAGAATCCTAAGTGCACCGCTCACCCTTTTCCCCTCATCAATTCTGTGATTCACCTCATCTTTCATCAACCCATCTGCTGACACGTCCACTCCCAAATATCAGAATGCATTCACCTCCTCCATACTCTCTCCCTCCAATCTGATATCCAATCTTCATCACCTAATCTTTTTGTTATCCTCATAACCTTACTCTTTCCTATATTCACTTTTTATTTTCTTCTTTTACACACCCTACTAAATACTGTTCACATATAGGAAGGGTTGGAGGGAGGGGGTAAAGGAGGTTTTGTGTGCGAGGGGCTTGGACTTCCAGCAGGCATGTGTGAGCGTGTTTGATAGAAGTGAATGAGACAAATGGTTTTTCAATACTTGACGTGCTGTGGAGTGTGAGCAAAGTAACATTTATAAGGATTCAGGAAACCGCAGGCGGACTTGAGTCCTGGAGATGGCAAGTACAGTGCCTGCACTTGAAGGAGGGGTGTTAATGTTGCAGTTAAACTGTAGTGTAAGCACCCTTCTGCAACAGTGATGGAGTGAATGATGGTGAAAGTTTTTCTTTTTCGGCCACCCTGCCTTTGTGGAACGGCCGTTTGATAATAAAAAAAAAATAAAAAAAAATTATGCTTCAAGTAAACACTATGATCTACACATCCCCACCCACTCTAAAGCCTCCTTATCATCCAAAATCCGCTCTCTGTCTACCTCTATTATTTCAATAATAACCCTACTGTTACACTTTTCCCGGTATACTCAGTAAACTATTCCCTTATCATTTTTGCACATCTTTTGTCCCTCTTCCTTATGTAAAGAACCTATAGAAGCTCTCTGAATCCCTAGGTACCTCCCTCTTTCATACATTATTAAACAAAAATACCACCACTCCCTTACCCCCCCCCTTGACTTTACATTTCTTCAACTCAGTTAGCTGCTTCCTTTATTAATAATGCCTCTACCCCCCCACTCACTCTTGCTCTCCACTCTAAAGTGTTATCCTCCCTGACAGTGCATAAATTACCACCTCCCTTACTTTATTCATTTAAGTTCCTCAAAATATTTCCGCATCTACCCATACCTCCAGCTCCCCATCTACAACTCCTACTCTGTTTTTAACTGACAAATCCATTCTTCCCTTAGGCTTTCTTAACTTGTTTATCTCACTCCAAATTTTTTTTCTTAATTTCATCACAATTTCTTGACAGTGCTCTCCCACTCTATCATATGCTCTCCTTTTGCACCTCTCTCACCACTCTCTTCACCTTTCTTATACTCTCCATATACTCTGCTCTTCTTATAACACTTCTGCTTTGTAAAACCTCTCATAAGCTACCTTTTCTCTTTTATCATACCCTTTACTTCATCATTCCACCAATCACTCCTCTTTCCTCCTGCACCCACCCTCCAATAGCCACAAACTTCTGCCCCACATTCTAATACTGCATTTTTAAAACTATTCCAACCCTCTTCAACCCCCCACTACTCATACTTGCGCTAGCCCACCTTTCTGCCAATAGTTGCTTATATCTCACCCTAACTTCCTCCTCCCTTAGTTTATACACTTTCACCACCTCTCTCTTACGTGTTGTTGCCATTTTAATAATATCATGATTTCCTTGCAGATACGTATTCCCAATTCCTGAAGAACCAAGTGGACTTGGAGAAGCTGCTAGTTCGCGTTGCTTGGATAGGACCTAATCTTGACCCTCGGTTTCTCTGTACTTTCCGGGGTTCTAAACCCATTGTATTTTTTGACTGGTGGCCAAACTTGCTTTCCAATTTGGATGAATTCATGCCAGTTTCCTTCCCTTCTTGCTTAAGCTTCCAAGGTGAAGACTCCTACTTGTGTAATTATGAATTACATACACTGAAGAAATTCATATGGGGAGAACTACTAAATTCTGCAAAAGTTGCAGTGGAGGTAATTAGTAGCAAATTATTTTTTAGTTTATAATAATTAGTAGTATATTATTGTATCAATATAGTTTTTATCATCAGCATCCTCAGTCATCATCCTGCTCTTTCCTACTCTAAATTACTAGTAATTACTGTTCATTTGTTTATACCTTATGCTGTATGTATAATATCAATAAATACTTATAACAATGTACTTTCAGTCAGTAAGACGATTTTATCTGCGTGAAGAGGATTACCAAGAGTTGTTATCTATGTATGAGGAGCGGATTGCTAACTGCAACAGTAACTCCACTGCAGTTGTTCAGCCAGATAGTCAGGTTATTGAGAGTATTGCCTGTGAATGGCTACAGCAGAACCGCAGCGATGACACAGTAGTCTGGAAGAACTGGCTGTCACATGATTATTATGCCAAGACTATTTTGTGGATTGCTGGAATATTCCCAATGAGCAGTGAGAGAAATATTGGGTTTTCCAGCCATACTTTAGTTAATGGTGAGTCAACTGCAATAACTTACTCAAAACCGTCTTACTTTCTAGCTTGTCATAGTGCCATTAATACACGTAATAAGTAGGGCATTAATTTTTTAGCATAATCCTTTACTGATATGTTATTATTAACTCATACTTATCATCTTTCAGCTGCTGAATTGGCCTACAAGAATGTAAATAAAAATGATAAAGTTTTGCATGATTTTAAGATCGTTGTGTTGAATCAGAATGGTGGATGCAAAAGTGAAGACGTACTCACTGCTTTTATCCGTTACATTCGGAAGGACTCCAGTCATCTGACCTTCGAACAAATGATAGGGGTTCTTGGTTAGTATATCTCTCTAAAATATGAATCATTTTATGAAATACCTAGTCTATTTCTATTTTCTGTTTTTATTACCTTTCGAGTGTAGAGTGCACCACATGTATACATTTGACACTTATACATGTATATAAATACTATACATAAAAGGAAAGTAAGCAAAGCATTTTTAAGTTGTCATAATACAATATAAAGTGCTTAATATTACCCTAGGTGATTCTGAACCTTTAGTGTCATCATTCATACAAATAGTTTTTATTGCTAGTATTATTATTACAGGCCCAGCATGTTCGGAAACTGTGGAGCCTCTTGCTGGGGTTGCGAAGACTTTCAACACGGTGGTATTGTCATATAGTGCTGAAGGAGCTATATTCAGTGACCATGAAAAATACCCACACTTTTTCAGAACCATTCCAGAAAACAAAATGTATGGGTATGTACATGCAAAATTTAGAAGCATTTTCAAGTAAATTATTACTGTATTTCCAATGTACCAGTAAAAATTATGTTTCTGAGTAAAAAAACAGATTATTACCCAAGTGTTTTATTTGGCAGGTATGTATATTTTGATTTGTTCAAATTGTTTGAGTGGAAGAATGTGGCAGCACTCACAGAAGATTCGAACAAGTACAGCAAATACCTGAACCTCCTGCGCAATATGCTTCCAACTACAATGGACCTTGAAAATCGCAGTTTTCATAAAAATTCAGATAATAACATGACTGATGTAAGTACTAGTTTGTACCTGACCTACTAGTTCTTTCAGTTCATTGCTCTAACTAAATTACAGTAATTACCTTATTAGCAACAGTTTACTTAGTGTAATTTTAGAGACTGAGGCTACATTAAGGTATAATTTTACATAACCTGTTCCCTGCTTAATGACCTCTCACAGCAGCTTGGACCAGGCTGGCAGATCTGTTCAGGATGAGAAAGAAGAATCGGAGGGATGGTGGGTGGGTGGGTGGGTGTATGGGAGGGAGAGATGGATGGATGGCTGATAGCTCACAGCTTCAAGCACCTGATACAGAATGCAGGTTTTTACTATCAGTGACTTACTGCTTTGTGTAAAATTAATAATGCCTTGAGTGCTATGTTAAAATCATTATAGCATAAAACACAAGCAGGCAGACAAAGGGAGAGAGTGGGGAGTAATAGTGGATGAGGGGGGACAGGATGGGCTGCCAACTAGGAATACAGTAAATGAATATAAACTAGGATAAATAGTTAAAGTTTGCTTGATCTTTCCTCTTAGAATGCATCTCTGATTAAAATAGTCTTGTGGGAAAATTGGATTTAATTTACCGTAATGTACTGTACAAATTAACATTTACAGTCTGTTGAAAAATGTTTCTAGTACGTATATCTTAGCAAATCAATTAAAAGCAAATATTTTACTTTTTGGATCTTTATATAAAGTCACATTTTATTTTTGATGCAGAAATTTCTCAGAAAAATCCTGAATCATGTACATGAGTTTTTATAAACTATAAATTTATAGCAGCCTAACAATATTGTATTCTGAAATTACTCAGAATACAAAAAAACATCTAGAATAATTTATACAAGTTACTGTTTTCCTGCAAACTTGTTTGATGATTTATTTTGAAGATCCTCATATCATGGTTTGTCTCATGTAGCATCTGATGAAGTTGAATGCCAAAAACCGTAAAATCATCATTGGCGACTTTTATGCAAGCACGGCCCGTGAAGTGATGTGCGAGGCTTACCATCTCAACATGACAGCCCGTCATAACTATGTATGGTTCCTGCCACGGTGGTTCACCAGTAATTGGTATAACACGTCACTTTATTCTCAGAAAGATAAGAAAAAAATTCCCTGCAATACATCCATGATGTTAGAGGTTAGTTATTGTATACAGTTTTATTCTTTAAAATTTTTATGATAAGGAGTCATGGTAAAACTTCATTAGGATAATGTCAGTATGAAAATGGTTTGAATAATTTTAAATGAATTGTGCATTTTTTTTTTAATTACCATTTTAAATTTTGAGCTAGAACACTTAAGAAAATTTGCAAATTTATTGATACACAACTTTCTCTTACAGTTAATTACTTTTAGGGGTTATTTTTCATAAAGTGACTTGAATGGAAAAAAGGCCACACTGACTGACTGTTGGGTTATCCTAGGTTAATTTCAACCTAATTTATTATATAAAACCATTGTATAAGTTTCAAATTATGTATGAGGTCTAATAAATTTACTTACCGTAACTAATTTAGTGCTATGAGTTAAAGTACTTGGAAAACATTCCTGTTTCTTTACATGTACAGTGTTATTATTATTATAATCATAACCAAGCACTAAACCCATAAGGGTCATCCAGCACTGTACATGTACAATTGAAAATGATGGAAGTCTAAGTTCTAGTTATGATAAGGCTGAGGTTATGTACTCTTGTATATATTCTGTCTCAAGCAGTATGATAGCAGATAATAATGAAAATTTATTTATAACCAAAAATTTTTCATTTAATAAACAGTGAGAAAATATATATTGGTTAGAATTTTGGTAAACTAGCTTTCAGGATGTTAAATAGATAAATAGATAAATGATACAACCAAACAGCAGACAACTAAGTGAGCTGAATGTTCTTTTTATGTTAGCTGTCCCTGAAATATCTTTTTAATAGTTGTTACATAAAGTATTTGTTTGTTTTTATAGGCTATTGATCGTCACATGTCCTTGGGTTATGCCTATTATGCTCCTGATGATTTTGTTTACCATGAAAACAAGACTGTGAAACAGTGGCGAGAGGAATACTTTAAAAAGTGAGTTTTTAAAGTTTCACATTCAGTTTTATATTAAAAAAAGTGTAAACAAGAGAATGAAGGTTACCTCCCAAATGTGTTTTAAGTATTATTATTATTATTATTATTAGTAGTAGTAGTAGTAGTAGTACAGTGGAACCCCAGATTTTGTCTGCACCGGATATTGTATGATTCGGATTTCGACCATTTTTCTTGGCAAAATTTTGCTCTGGATTTTGTACCTTGTAGCAGAAATCGTCTGTATCAGACGTGTCCGCCTGTCCAGGACGCTGCCACTCATGTGTACATGTCTCAGTCTGACTCTGTCACTGGTTGAGTGAGCATTCATCCAAAACATTTCATAATAATCCATTGTTTTTGTCCTTGTTTATTGAGTGCGACTGCGAAATAAGCCACCATAGGCCCGAAGAAAGTTCCTAGTGCCAGTCCTTTGGTAAAGAAGGTGAGAAACATGATAGAATTCAAGAAAGAGATTGTAGAAAAATACCAAAGTGGCGTACATGTGGCTGAGCTCGCCAAGATGTATGACAAGTCCAAATCAACAGTCAGTTTCATCCTGGCAAAGAAAGTAGAAATCAAGGGAGCTGATGTTGCAAAAGGGGTGATTAAAGACATTTGTTCAAAGAGGAATGAAGTGCAAACTTTTGTGGAAAAATATCACCCTGACCCAGCTGATATAAGCCGTATCTGCAACATGTTCAGTGACAATACCTTTTCCCATTTTAGGCATCTCTTAAAGAGATGCCAGAAACAGAGCTCTCTGGACATTTTTGTAGTGTGACAGGGGTCCAGTGCCAGTAAAAGATAAAGAAGGGAAGTAACCCTAGATATGGCTTTGATACCTGAAGTCCTTATGGAGAGGGATTCCCCTTCCAAACAATAACCTCTGCTCCTCCTCCCTCTCCCCTCCTCGCCATCCATACCCCAAGAAGAGTCCTCAATAAAGGTAAGTTTGATGTTAAATGTTCATTTATCCATTTCATTAGTCATTTATATTTTTTTCTCATTGTTTTCTGTATGTAAAACTATAATTATTCTTTAAGAAATGTATTTTTTGTTAATATTTTTGGGTGTCTGGAACAGATTAATAGTATTTACATTATTCCTTATGGGAAATATTGCTTCAGTTTTCATCCGTTTCGGATTTAGACCGACCTTCTGGAACGAATTAAGGACGAAATCTAGGGTTCCACTGTATTGGTAGTAATAATAGTACTATTACAATTAGAACTAAGTACTAAATCTACAAGGGCCATAATAGTAGTAGTAATAGAATTAATAATAGTGGTAGTAATAAAACTAGTAATAGCAGTAGTGGTAGTACTAGTAGTAAAAGTAATAGTAGAATAGTAGTAGTAGTAGTATAGTCATAGGGAAGAACTAAAGGAATAAGTGTCATACAGAGCCTGGGAAATGGAAGATAATTAGATTTCAACCATGGAATGTGAGGGTAGCTCTGATTCTTTGGATCAAACCAGTTATGTTCCATTCCTCAGGCACTGTATAACAATTATGGGTTTAATTCTTCCCCATGACTATAATACTAATATAATAAAAATAATAATACATAATTAAACACCAGCACCCCCTAACTGTTACTCATTATTTTAGACAAGTGCATATCCACAAACATTTGCTGCATTTTAAGCTTGAAAGAATTTCACGATTCAAGTTTCTTCACATAATTGATCATAGTGAAATGGAGGAAGAGTACATGATTATTATTATTATAATCAAAACATGACTAAATTAAAAAGAGAAACTTCAGTTTTTCTTTTTAGGTCACACTGTCAGGGTCATGCAGCACTGCAAGAGGAAGAGTACAGTATCTTAAAATAGAGTTTTAAGAATGCCTCTTTAATAAACTGGAAAAAATTTTGTCATGAAATTTTTTTGTATTTAACCCTTAAATGGTCCAAACGTATATATACGTTCACTCACGTAGCGCCCCAAATTTTTTGAGAGAAAAAAAAATCTGTTTTTTAAAAGGAAAAAAGAGCATATGGTACCCAGGCATCCCAAATTATTTTAATATGGCACACAGTGAGTGCACACACCCATTCTCTCATGTCTAGGTGACTCAGGCTTATCGTGGCAATGTTGAATGAATGACAAAGAAAACGTATATATACGTTTGGGGCGCTACGCGCGTGAACGTATATATACGTTTGGACCGTTTAAGGGTTAATAACAGTTGTCTGTCCATCAACCATAATTTTTTTATGGAAGTAATTCTAGTTTCCACATTTCTGTATATGTACAGGATATAAGAATTATCCATAGATATGATCTGGTCTGAGATTTCTTGAGACAGATTATTATTATTATTATTATTTTTTTTTAACAAGTCGGCTGTCTCCCACCGAGGCAGGGTGGCCCAAAAAGAAAGAAAATCCCCAAAAAGAAAATAGTGTACTTTCATCATCATTCAACACTTTCACCTCACTCACACATAATCACTGTTTTTGCAGAGGTGCTCAGAACACAACAATTTAGAAGCATATATACATATAAAGATACACAACATATCCCTCCAAACTGCTAATATCCCTAACCCCTCCTTTAGAGTGCAAGCATTGTACTTCCCATTTCCAGAACTCAAGTCTGGCTATACAAAAATAACCGGTTTCCCTGAATCCCTTCACTAAATATTTCCCTGCTCACACTCCAACAGATTATTATTATTATTATTATTATTATTATTATTATTATTATTATTATCATTATTATTAGAATCATAACTAAGTGCTAAACCCACAATGGTTATTCTTGAGGTAGATTACACTTAAGGTAGACTCTAGAATTTATCCTTGTGGGTCTACACAGTAAATTATTGCAGCCCACTTTTATTCTGGGACATGTCTTTACATTTACAGTGGTACCTCGAGTTACGAAATTAATTCGTTCCAGAAGGCTGTTCGAGTGCCTTTACCGCACAAATTTGTTCCCATAAGGAATGATGTAAATTAGATTAGTCTCAGACCCCAAAAAATTCACTTACAAAAGCACTTACAAAAATACACTTGCATAATTGTTCGAGTTGGGAGCTCTTCGAAACTCGAGGTACTACCACTGTATGTTCTAACCATTCTTTTATCCATTCCAGTACATTTTTCAGTAATTTTGTATGTATTCTTGAGTTTTTAATTTGGATAATTATTACATACTTGTAAGTAAAATTTTACTCAACAAATTCTAGACAGAATTAAATTTTATAAATGTAGGTATGAGGTAATTTTTTATAGTCACTCTTATTATAATAATAAAAAACAAGTGCTGAACCGGCAAGGTTTTATAGTCACAGTACTTTTTAATCACATTTCTTTATCATAAAACAGATACCATCATGAGCCTGCAGATTATGCTGGATACACATATGATGCTGTATGGACATATGCTTATGCATTGGATAAACTTCTAAAAGAAGATCGGACTCATATCTCCAACTTACATAGTGACAGGACCAACAAGTAAGCTATGTTCCTAAAGATCTGTAGTAAGAAATGTTTAGATTTTGTTTTCTATGCTCAGATTATTATACTAGGAAGCATAAAACTCCAGAGGGTCATACAGTGCCTGGGAATGAGAGACAGTCATGTCTGATCCAAAGAAAGTAAATTTATTATTATAATCAAAGAAAGTGCTAAACCGATAAGGGTCATACAGCGCTGCAGGGCAGAAAATAGTACTGGGGCTATAAACAGCCAGGTGGAGAGAGGATCAGAAGTTAGGAGAGAAAAGGGCTGGAAGGGACGCTAAGGGCTATGTGTCAAAGTTCGTATAGTAAAAGAGTTGCTGACAAAAAGTCAAAAAGTGATTGTAAGTCAAAGGCAGGGCCGTGTGCAAGAAGGGGAGATAAGGTAAAAGTGGTAGGGCGGCAGCGGCGTTGGAGGTAAATCCTGCGAGCTCGCTGGTAAACTGGGCAGTCCTACAAGAAAGTGAAGAACCAAAATAGGGACCCGACAAACCTCACAGAGAGGGATAGGGTGTTGTTCCACGAGATACCCATAGGTAAGGCAAGTATGGCCAATGCGGAGACGAGAGAGCATAGTCTCTCAAGTATGGCAACGGTGGTAAGAAGATGGTCACAAACCTAAAAGTGGTTTAATAGAGCAAAATATGTTATGGTGCATGCCCAACAACCCTTGTTGCCAATAGCCGCAAAGACGGGCTGAGATGACTGGAAAATAATCTCTGAATGGAATACCTCTATAGGAAACCGGAAGATCATGCACCACTGGCCGCGCAGCAGCTTCTGCTTGTTCATTGCCTTGCACATAAACGTGTCCAGGGACAACAGAAAATGTCTTTGTTTTTGCTAGCCACATGGCGCAACCATAGATGAATGCGAAGGACTAATGGATGAGGGGAATCAAATTGTTTAATGGCTTGTAAAGCACTGAGGGAATCTAAAATGATCACAAACGTCAAAGGACACATATATGTAATACGGAGAAGCTGCGGTAAGAATTATCACAAAATCCAATACTAGGCAACACACACACACCCACTCTTCAAAAGATGTAAACTTATTCACTGTACAGAACATCCACACTTACTACTGTGCAACCTACATTTACAGAACCATAAATTCCAATACAGTGGACCCCCGGTATTCGATATTAATCCATTCCTGAGAGCTCATCGAATACCGATAATATCGAAAACCGAATCAATTTTCCTCATAAGAAATAATGAAAATCAAATTAATCCATGCAAGACACCCAAAAGTATGAAAAAAAAATTTTACTACATGAAATATTAAGTTTAATGCAATAGAATAATTACAATAACAATAAAATAATTGACACTTACCTTTAATGAAGATCTGGTGATGATTGATGGGATGGAAGGAGGGGAGAGGTGTTAGTGTTTAGAAGGGGAATCCCCTTCCATTAGGACTTGAGGTAGCAAGTCCTTTTCCAGGGTTACTTCCCTTCTTTTAATGCCACTAGGACCAGCTTGAGTCACTGGACCTCTGTCGCACAACAAATCTGTCCATAGAGCTCTGTACCTCCCGTTCCTTTACGATTTGGCTAAAATGGGCCACAACATTGTCATTGTAATAGCTGTGTTAGGGTGAGTTTCATCCATAAAGGTTTGCACTTCAACCCACTGTGCACACATTTCCTTAATTTTTGAAGTAGGCACAATGGTATAGGCTTCTCAGGGTTAGCCCCAAACCCTTCAAAATCTTTTTTAATTTCCATACTAATTCTCACCCTTTTTACTACAGGGTTGGCACTAGAAGCTTTCTTGGGGCCCATGGTGACTTATTTTGCAGAAACAAGCACCAAACACAGTGATAATATGGATAATATGGAATGTACCGAATGTATCCTTAGATGAGCGCACACTGGCTGGCTTGTAGACACTGGCACACAAGGGGCAGTTCAGGCCACGTGTGGACAGGTCTCGTATGAATCGTATCGAATACCGGGTTTTCAATCGAATACCGAGGAAAATTTTTTGCGATATAATGCATTGAATACCGGATTTATCGAATACCGACGCCATCGAATACCGGGGGTCCACTGTATTAACTTTGAATTAAAACACTTTCTTGATAGTTGTGACAGGACCCATAGGCACAATACCAGACACAAAAAGCAACAGCAAAGAACTACAGACCGATAGCACTAACATCCCATATCATAAAAATCTTTGAAAGGGTCCTAAGAAGCAAGATCACCACCCATCTAGATACCCATCAATTACACAACCCAGGGCAACATGGGTTTAGAACAGGTCGCTCCTGTCTGTCTCAACTATTGGATCACTACAAGGTCCTAGATGCACTAGAAGACAAAAAGAATGCAGATGTAATATATACAGACTTTGCAAAAGCCTTCGACAAGTGTGACCATGGTGTAATAGCGCACAAAATGCGTGCTAAAGAAATAACAGGAAAAGTCGGTCGATGGATCTATAATTTCCTCACTAACAGAACACAGAGAGTAGTAGTCAACAGAGTAAAGTCAGAGGCAGCTACGGTGAAAAGCTCTGTTCCACAAGGCACAGTACTCGCTCCCATCTTGTTCCTCATCCTCATATCTGACATAGACAAGGATGTCAGCCACAGCACCGTGTCTTCCTTTGCAGATGACACCCTAATCTGCATGACAGTGTCTTCCATTGCAGACACTGCAAGGCTCCAGGCAGACATCAACCAAATCTTTCAGTGGGCTGCAAAAAACAATATGAAGTTCAACGATCAGAAATTTCAATTACTCAGATATGGTAAACACGAGGAAATTAAATCTTCATCAGAGTACAAAACAAATTCTGGCCACAAAATAGAGCGAAACACCAATGTCAAAGACCTGGAAGTGATCATGTCGGAGGATCTCACCTTCAAGGGCCATAACATTGTATCAATCGCATCTGCTAGAAAAATGACAGGATGGATAATGAGAACCTTCAAAACTAGAGATGCCAAGCCCATGATGACACTCTTCAGGTCACTTGTTTTATCTAGGCTGGAATATTGCTGCACACTAACAGCACCTTTAAAGGCAGGTGAAATTGCTGACCTAGAAAATGTACAGAGAACCTTCACGGCGCGCATAACGGAGATAAAACACCTAAATTACTGGGAGCGCTTGAGGTTCCTGAACCTGTATTCCCTGGAACACAGGCAGGAGAGATACTTGATTATATACACCTGGAAAATCCTAGAGGGACTAGTACCAAACTTGCACACAAAAATCACTCACTACGAAAGCAAAAGACTTGGCAGACGATGCAACATCCCCCCAATGAAAAGCAGGGGTGTCACTAGCACGTTAAGAGACCATACAATAAGTGTCAGGGGCCCGAGACTGTTCAACTGCCTCCCAGCATACATAAGGGGGATTACCAACAGGCCCCTAGCAGTCTTCAAGCTGCCACTGGACAAGCACCTAAAGTCGGTTCCTGACCAGCCGGGCTGTGGCTCGTACGTTGGTTTGCGTGCAGCCAGCAGTAACAGCCTGGTTGATCAGGCTCTGATCCACCAGGAGGCCTGGTCACAGACCGGGCCGCGGGGGCGTTGACCCCCGGAACTCTCTCCAGGTAAACATCCGCGGAACCTCACAGAGCAGTATGAACTCTAGCATACTTCCCACTACCTAGAAACTGTAATCCCAAGGGGAGGACCCCAGAGGCTACAAACGGGATGGGGAAAAGAGAGGGTTGGGAGGGGGGAGGAAAGGGAAAAAAGGGGGGATGGGGAGGATGGGATAGGGAAGGGAGGATTGGGGGGTAATTTGGTTCAATCTGAGGAAGGAGACCAAAGGGTCTAATTCCTTAGACCAAGAGCCTCTTTGCTGCATCAAGGAGCCCCTCCTTGAAGCGGCAAAGAAAGTAAAGGTAGCTCCAGTTCTTCAAATTGAGCCCTTAACTGTTTATGCTCAAGAATGATTGGTGCTGGGATTCTTGCACTCTCTTCAGTACCTAAAATATTTTAATAAATTTGCAAAGACTCATGAGTAATGATGTTTAAAAAATCTTAATCTGTATAGAAACTTTTTCTTCTGTTTAACTAATTTCACGGGATGTTCCTTGATACTAGTGAGGGGCTCTTGATCTAAGGAACTGAACCTGATCTCTTCCTTGGAATGGACATGACTGCCTTTCAAACAGCTCTGTATGACCCATACAGGTTCAGTACCTCTGCCCGTCCCTTCATCCCATCATGAATGTATTAATAGCAAAGTTATCATCTGTAAAGGAAATATGGTAAGGAAACACTAAAAGGTATAACATACACATAACCTACACATAGGAAACTGAAACTTATGAAAACGTTTTGGTCTGACTTGGACCGTTGACTTGGACAGTTGACTTAGACTGTCATCATAAGTTTGTTACCTACATGCTGGTTATCGTGTATTATTTTGGTCACAGCATTGTGTCTTTATTCTTCATCAAGAGGTATATGTAAGGGAGAAAGTATAATGTAGTTTCTCTTCCTGTCCTTTGCAGTATTTTAATATCTATTGCACATTCCAGGCGGTTTGTTCAGCTCATAAGACAGATAGACTTCAATGGTGTCTCTGGGCACATCACCTTCCAGAATGTGCACTCCAGAAATACCATAATCAACATCATGCAGTTTGTAGTTGATGATAACAGAACTGGTGGGAGTTATGAAACTATTGGAACTTACATGCCTACAAGCCCTTCAAGTGGCATGTAAGTTCATTTTTATTATGTATATGTCCTGTGTGTTCACATCATATTACAAGAGAGATAATATTGCATCTTCTATCATTTAGCAATGTAGCAGTAGTAACAGTAGTAACAGAACAGAAAAAATATTGACCAAATTTTTATTGTTACATAAATTTAGTTTCATCTGATTAATTGTTCATATCATGCCCATTTAATCATTCTTCAGTTTTTGAACTGTACTTCTGTTGATGGTTAAAAAAAATCCATAGGGAGACTGCTGTAATATTTATTGATTTATTGTTACTTTTCCAGTCTTACCATGAACAAACACAAATGGCCCAATGGGATACCAAGTGATGGCTCACCTGAAGAAACTTGTATATTTGAAACATTCAAGAAAATCCTTAATGTCACGTGTGATGTGGCCATAGTTATTGTAATGGTTCTTATCTTTGTTGTATTTGCAATTATCTTGATTGCTCTCTTCATTGTTTACAAAAAGAGGTAAGCCAAATAGCAATTATTATTATTTTTTATTATTATCACACTGGCCGATTCCCACCAAGGCAGGGTGGCCCGAAAAAGAAAAACTTTCACCATCATTCACTCCATCACTGTCTTGCCAGAAGGGTGCTTTACACTACAGTTTTTAAACTGCAACATTAACACCCCTCCTTCAGAGTGCAGGCACTGTACTTCCCATCTCCAGGACTCAAGTCCGGCCTGCCGGTTTCCCTGAACCCCTTCATAAATGTTACTTTGCTCACACTCCAACAGCACGTCAAGTATTAAAAACCATTTGTCTCCATTCACTCCTATCAAACACGCTCACGCATGCCTGCTGGAAGTCCAAGCCCCTCGCCACACAAAACCTCCTTTACCCCTCCCTCCAACCTTTCCTAGGCCGACCCCTACCCCGCCTTCCTTCCACTACAGACTGATACACTCTTGAAGTTATTCTGTTTCGCTCCATTCTCTCCACATGTCCGAACCACCTCAACAACCCTTCCTCAGCCCTCTGGACAACAGTTTTGGTAATCCCGCACCTCCTCCTAACTTCCAAACTACGAATTCTCTGCATTATATTCACACCACACATTGCTCTCAGACATGACATCTCCACTGCCTCCAGCCTTCTCGTCGCTGCAACATTCATCACCCATGCTTCACACACATATAAGAGCATTGGTAAAACTATGCTCTCATACATTCCCCTCTTTGCCTCCAAGGACAAAGTTCTTTGTCTCCAGAGACTCCTAAGTGCACCACTCACCCTTTTCCCCTCATCAATTCTATGATTCACCTCATCTTTCATAGACCCATCCGCTGACACGTCCACTCCCAAATATCTGAATACATTCACCTCCTCCATACTCTCTCCCTCCAATCTGATATCCAATCTTTCATCACCTAATCTTTTCGTTATCCTCATAACCTTACTCTTTCCTGTATTCACTTTCAATTTTCTTCTTTTGCACACCCTACCAAATTCATCCACCAATCTCTGCAACTTCTCTTCAGAATCTCCCAAGAGCACAGTGTCATCAGCAAAGAGCAACTGTGACAACTCCCACTTTGTGTGATTCTTTATCTTTTTAACTCCACGCCTCTTGCCAAGACCCTTGCATTTACTTCTCTTACAACCCCATCTATAAATATATTAAACAACCACGGTGACATCACACATCCTTGTCTAAGGCCTACTTTTACTGGGAAATAATTTCCCTCTTTCCTACATACTCTAACTTGAGCCTCACTATCCTCGTAAAAACTCTTCACTGCTTTCAGTAACCTACCTCCTACACCATACACCTGCAACATCTGCCACATTGCCCCCCTATCCACCCTGTCATACGCCTTTTCCAAATCCATAAATGCCACAAAGACCTCTTTAGCCTTATCTAAATACTGTTCACTTATATGTTTCACTGTAAACACCTGGTCCACACACCCCCTACCTTTCCTAAAGCCTCCTTGTTCATCTGCTATCCTATTCTCCGTTTTACTCTTAATTCTTTCAATAATAACTCTACCATACACTTTGCCAGTATACTCAACAGACTTATCCCCCTATAATTTTTGCACTCTCTTTTATCCCCTTTGCCTTTATACAAAGGAACTATGCATGCTCTCTGCCAATCCCTAGGTACCTTACGTTCTTCCATACATTTATTAAATAATTGCACCAACCACTCCAAAACTATATCCCCACCTGCTTTTAACATTTCTATCTTTATCCCATCAATCCCGGCTGCCTTACCCCCTTTCATTTTACCTACTGCCTCACGAACTTCCCCCACACTCACAACTGGCTCTTCCTCACTCCTACAAGATGTTATTCCTCCTTGTCCTATACACGAAATCACAGCTTCCCTATCTTCATCAACATTTAACAATTCCTCAAAATATTCCCTCCATCTTCCCAATACCTCTAACTCTCCATTTAATAACTCTCCTCTCCTATTTTTAACTGACAAATCCATTTGTTCTCTAGGCTTTCTTAACTTGTTAATCTCACTCCAAAACTTTTTCTTATTTCCAACAAAATTTGTTGATAACATCTCACCCACTCTCTCATTTGCTCTCTTTTTACATTGCTTCACCACTCTCTTAACCTCTCTCTTTTTCTCCATATACTCTTCCCTCCTTGCATCACTTCTACTTTGTAAAAACTTCTCATATGCTAACTTTTTCTCCCTTACTACTCTCTTTACATCATCATTCCACCAATCGCTCCTCTTCCCTCCCGCACCCACTTTCCTGTAACCACAAACTTCTGCTGAACACTCTAACACTACATTTTTAAAACTACCCCATACCTCTTCGACCCCATTACCTATGCTCTCATTAGCCCATCTATCCTCCAATAGCTGTTTATATCTTACCCTAACTGCCTCCTCTTTTAGTTTATAAACCTTAATCTCTCTCTTCCCTGATGCTTCTATTCTCCTTGTATCCCATCTACCTTTTACTCTCAGTGTAGCTACAACTAGAAAGTGATCTGATATATCTGTGGCCCCTCTATAAACATGTACATCCTGAAGTCTACTCAACAGTCTTTTATCTACCAATACATAATCCAACAAACTACTGTCATTTCGCCCCACATCATATCTTGTATACTTATTTATCCTCTTTTTCTTAAAATATGTATTACCTATAACTAAACCCCTTTCTATACAAAGTTCAATCAAAGGGCTCCCATTATCATTTACACCTGGTACCCCAAACTTACCTACCACACCCTCTCTAAAAGTTTCTCCTACTTTAGCATTCAGGTCCCCTACCACAATTACTCTCTCACTTGGTTTAAAGGCTCCTATACATTCACTTAACATCTCCCAAAATCTCTCTTTCTCCTCTGCATTCCTCTCTTCTCCAGGTGCATACACGCTTATTATGACCCACTTCTCGCATCCAACCTTTACTTTAATCCACATAATTCTTGAATTTACACATTCATATTCTCTTTTCTCCTTCCATAACTGATCATTCAACATTACTGCTACCCCTTCCTTTGCTCTAACTCTCTCAGATACTCCAGATTTAATCCCATTTATTTCCCCCCACCGAAACTCCTCTACCCCCTTCAGCTTTGTTTCGCTTAGGGCCAGGACATCCAACTTCTTTTCATTCATAACATCAGCAATCAAATAGCAATATGTGTATTATTATTATTTTATTCATGAAGAAGTGCTAAACCCATAAGGGTCATATAGCACCTAGGTAATGACAAGTAATCAAGTTTTTTCTGGGGAAAAGATAATAGCTGCAATTCTTTGAATCAAAGAGTCTTTTACCAGCATGAGGGAAGGAATATGTATAAAAGAGGTGTATATTACAGTAGTTTATTTCTAATAGAAATAATAATATAAAAGTATTTACATAGTGTATCTTGTAATTATAGGTTTGAGAAGATGGTTCCAGATCAGCCAGCATGGCCATTAGGAGAACTTATGTCTTTGGATGAATGGGAGCTGCCAAGGGAAAAAGTTGTCATTAATCGTACTATCGGTGAAGGAGCATTTGGTACAGTATTTGGCGGTGAGTGTCAGTTTGGGGATAACACACCCTGGCTGGCTGTAGCTGTCAAAACACTTAAAGTTGGCTCTACAGTTGAGGAAAAACTGGACTTCCTGGGCGAGGCAGAAATGATGAAAAGGTTCAATCATAAGAACATTGTCCAATTGCTTGGTCTTTGTACTCACCAAGAACCCATCTACATGATCATGGAGTTTATGTTGTATGGTAAGTTATTGCGCTCTTGCATTTTTAGGAATACACAACAAATCAGATACAGTACTGTATAGCTTTACTCTTTGTTTAGTACATTTGATATAGTATTTCCACTGGGAATTCCATAGCCTTGAAGGAAGTAGACAAATGGTTCAAAGAACCGACACGTTGTTAAATTAGACACATGTGCAACTCTTGGGTATCTTTATTGAGGAAACGTTTCACCACACAGTGGCTTCATCAGTCCATACAAAGGATAAACTTGAAGAACAGGAGGAGAATGAGGCAATCAGTCCCTCAGCCTTGAGTCGATGTGGTCAGTCCATCAATCTTGAATAGAATACGGCATATGAGCGGAGAAGCAGGGCTGGTTAATAGTGCAGTATTATAAGACATTATCAGTACTAGTATGTTTCAATGTTAAAAAGGATTAAAACATGTGTCACTAAACTCTACATGCTCATCTGACTTGTAACAGTGAAACAATCTCCTTATTTGCACCTGGAAACAAGTGTAAGTGGAATAAGTGAGCACTGCCATCAACATATACATACAAGTGAGCACTGCCGTCAGCAGACATAAAAGTCAGAAAGCAGAATGAAAGAAACATGAAACAACTAACCCACAAACTGGAGATAAAACTTTAAAATCTCTCAGTCCATCTTGTTGGCGAACACAGCAATGATTTGAGAAACTCTCAGGATTCTCTTGTTTCAGTTTCTTTTTATACTTTTTTCCCATGTTGGACATAATAGCATTTCCTAATTTATTAATTATAAGTGAGAGAAGAGGGAACTTGTGAAAAACTAACTGTTTATAATTTCTTTTCATCAGGTGATCTGAAGACTTACTTGTTGGCACGTCGTCACTTAGTATCTGACCGATCATTGCACACAGAGGAGGATGAAATCAGCAGTAAACGGCTAACCTCCATGGCACTTGATGTCTGTCGTGCATTAGCCTACCTCACAGAACTAAGATACGTGCATAGGTAAATGAGCTTTGGTTTAATTGTCAAACATAAGTTGCTACATGTGCTTTGTTGAATTGTGAAAAAATAATTAAAATGGCACTGCAAATTATTTCTCTCATGGGGAAAGATGAATACACGCATTGCTCAAGGTTATGTGACATAATGTATACAGCTTTTAGAGCATGTACTGAAATTTATGCATGTCTTAGCAGCAATAAGATATATATAAATAAACAGGACGTTGCCCTTTTCCACATTAAACTCCTTCAATAAACATTTTTTTATTTTTTTGCTATGGTGGTCAAAAGCAGTGTTTGGGTTATATACAGTATATACAGCCTCTCCTCACTTAATGACAGAGTTCTGTTTCTAACACCACATTGGTAAACGAATTCGTTGTTAAGTGAGAAGCATACTATGATGGTAGTGGGTTTCTGTTTTAATGTCACCTTTGCACCATTTATAACATTTCTGGTACATTTTTAAATATTTATACAGTAGTGTCCTGTATATTGTAATAAACAAAATAGAGAAAATCAGCTCTAATATACATTATTTAGGTATGCATACTGGTTAGAGAGCCCATCGTAAGACTGAGTCATTGGTAAACAAGTACATCACTAAGTGAGAAGAGGCTGTAATGTGCAGAACAACCACTGAACATCAGTAGACTTATGTGAGCGTGTTAGATTGTATGGCTTAATGGGCTGTTGGAGCATGAGCAAGGTATCATTTAGGAAGGGATCCAGGGAAACCGGTTAATCAGACTTGGTCCTGGAGTTGGCAAGGGCAGTGCCTGCACTTTGCAGGAGGTGTGTGTGTGTTGCAATTGGCGGGTAATTGGTATTGTGATGCCAGCACATCTCTAGAAAGACAACAATTGCAAGAATGGTGGTGAATGCATTTTCTTTTTTGGATAACCCTACCTTGGCAGGATTATTATTATTATTATTATTATAAACAAAACCAAGCGCTAAACCCACTAGGCTCATACAGCACTGCTGCCTTAGCAGGAGACTGCCACTGAGTTTAAAAAAAAAAATGCAAGAATTGCTCTAGCCACTTACAAGAAAGTATCATCAGTTTAAAATGGCTGATGTCTGGACTTGATTGTTTGAGTTTACTCTCTGAATGACAGAAGCTATTCTTTCATTTTTGGGGTTTTGTGCTGAGGAAGAATGTTAAATATTTTGTACTTAAACGAGTACATTACATTACATTACGAGTACAGTACCATTTATTTTTATTTATTATTACTTGGACATGATACATGGTTGTACAAAAGAAATACAGTGTTTGAGTTAATTCCAACAAACTTTATTTACACCTGTATTGTACCAGGGATGTGGCATGCAGAAATTGCTTGGTGAGTGCAGAGAGGGTCGTCAAGCTCTCAGACTTTGGTATGACGCGTCCTATGTATGAAAGTGATTATTACCGGTTCAATAGACGAGGTAAGTACAATAGTATTTATGCTTTATGTGAAATATTAGTAAATTGGAATAGTTATACTAAGTTGAAAGCAAATATAATTTCATTTTTAGGTAGTTAGCAAAGTAAGTACTAGTAGTATTTGCTAAGGTTTAGAGAATATAGTCAAAATTTCATTAAAATATCTTCATTGTGTAATTAAAATGGGATGCTGTCACATACATAAAATATCTTACTGGCAGACACCAGCATGTGATCATTAACCCTTTCAGGGTCAACAGGCCCTCTCCTAAACTTGTTCTCAGGGTCGAAAATTTTTCAAAAGAAAAATTATTTTTTCTTATGAAATGATAGAGAATTTTTTCCCGATCATAATGGCACCAAAAGTATGAAATTTGATGGAAAACTTACAGAATTATGCTCTCGCGAAGTTAGCGGTCTCGATGATGTTTACGCATCAGAGATTTCGCCCACTTTGAGCCCTATTTTTGGCCAATTCCAATGTGCCAGTCGACAAAAATCATAACTATTTCACTAGAGCTCCATTTTTTTCTGTCAAATGAATACAAGAAATCACCCATTTACTGATTTCAACTATCCAATAAAGTGGTCAGAAATTGGCAATTTTGCCAATTTCACACAAATTTCAAAAGATGCCAATTTCCAAATAGGGTCCAGAATAAACAAGACAGACATTCCTGGCACTAAAATAACATTTTCTCTGTTCATTAGTCACATCCGCAGGCCTCTCTTTCATTTCTTTTGCTTTCCACTTTGAATTTTTATTTTCACAAAAAAATAGAAGATTTACTGTTATGCAGACTATTGCATTAGTGTAGAAATGGTATAAATAATATCAGCGCACTTGTGAAAGAATATTAGACTCACCAGTTGACGTGTATTGGACATGTGGCATGATTTGTTTACTTTTGAACTTTGGCAAAAATCGAACATTTCTGCTAATTTGAGCTCAATTTCAAGGTACTGTTCATTGTGAAACCAATCAAAATCATCTCGATTTCTGTAATATGTCTTCCATTCTATAAAATGAGACCAGGAAAACTAGAATTCAACCATTAATAACATACAAAAACACACTGCAAAGTCGCTGTTTTAAAGCAAAAACAGAGTTTTTTTCCTCTCATTATGCACTGTGTGCTGCAGGATTTTTTTTTTTTATACTGTGCACACTGACCACATAGACCCATTCTTTCATATGTAGGCCTACCAGCTTTCTCTCTCTAGATTTGAAGGTGCTAGAATTAATGTGTACAAGTATGGCACCAACACTGGCGTGCAAGCCGTACTAGTATGGCACCAACCATGAAAGGGTTAATGACAATATTGTCAGCCAGGGGCTTTACAAAAATGTATGAAATGAATGCTGTCACATCATCTGATTTTGTAACAATTATGCATAATTTTTTTTTTTTTTTTTTTTCAAATTTTAGTTTTGTTTATCTGTATTTTTAAGGTCTTCAGGAATGTAGAATACACATCTACAAGGGTCAGTTAAATGTACAAGAAAAAATGTTGTTTAATGCCAGTTTTTTTGTCATCATCTACTTTTATAACAAAGTAAATATAGTAGTTTTACATTTTTAAAGAAACTTTAACTGTTTTTATTTCTTGTGGTATATGAAACAGTAAGATTTCTGCAGTGTTACCCGATTAAAAAAATTCTTGGTTAGCCATAGTATCACAGATGTACTTACTGTATATTACTACTCACCATATGGTCACAGATTTGTGTAATCTTGATTGTGCTATGAAAAGTTGTAATTCGCTTTGGTTAAGATAATTTATAAAACTTACCTTTCATGTTAAAATTATATTATGATATATGTAATACTTTGTTTACTTTTACATATAGCACTATATATACATTTTCAAATTGATTTTGAATCAGATGCTTTTGAAATCTCATGGCACATTAGCTTCCATTTTGATGGCATTCCTGTGTCTGTCTGTTCTTTATTTTTCACTTATTTTATACCTTACTGATCCTCTTTGAAATCAAACCACAAAATTAGTACTTTAGAAATTTTAAAGCTTAACATTTGATTTTAAAGATTAGGGTAATTGTTTAGCAAGCTTAAGGTATGGTATTGTGAATCATAGTTACTTACAATATTTTTATTTGAAAGGTGAGTTACATACATTTTTTCCTTAACAGCTATGTTACCTGTGCGATGGATGTCTCCGGAGTCCCTTGAAGATGGCCTTTTCACCAACATGAGTGACATGTGGTCATATGGTGTTCTGCTGTATGAAATCATCACCTTTGGAAGCTTTCCCTTTCAGGTACATTTATGAAAAGAACACCGCACCTAACTCTTTACATCACCGATTGATGATCTTGATAACCAGTATTTTACCAATGTTAATTTTTGCTAATTAATCACTAATTTACCTTGGGTTATGGACTGACTTTCTGTTTCCCATAACACTTAATCTCCCTGGCACTAGGCACTTGTTGTGCCTGGGGTACTGAATATTTTCCCTCCACCACTCTGTCTTAGCAAGCGTTTCTCAGAACAAATTTGGTAAGATTACTTACTCATTTCTGCAACTTTGCAAGCTCCTGATGATGTGTTGATTGCAATATATTTCTGCAACTTTGCAAGCTCCTGATGATGTGATGATTGCAACACAAAAGGTCTAAAGCTATAATTCAACTCCCCCTGTAGTTGTTTTGCATCTTGTGTTGCTTGTGTGTGATTTTTGCACATATATAAAGGAGGGGTTTGGGATATTGGCAATTTGGAGGGACTTCTAAACTGTCGTATCTGAGCGCCTCTGCAAAGACAGTGATTATGTATAGTGATGGTGAAAGTGTTCAATGATGATGAAAGTATTTTTCTTTCCTTTTGGGTTTTTCTTTCTTTTTGGGTTACGCTGCCTCAGTGGGAAATGGCCGATGTATTAAAAAAATATATACAGTGGACCCTTGGTTATCAGCCATAATCCGTTCCAGAAGGTTGGCTGAAAACCGAAATAATATTTCTCATAAGAATTAATATAAATACAATTAATCCATTCCAGACAAAAATATTCACAAAAAATAATTTTTTTAACAATTATACTATAAATATTACATACCTTTATTGAAGGCTAATGCTGGCTTCTGGAAGATAGGGATGAGGAAAGAGGGAGGAGTTAGTGTTTGGAAGGGGAATCATCCCTCAATAAAGACTTTAGGTAGCAAAGCCTTCTCTGGGGTTACTTCCCTTCTTTGTCTTTTAACCCTTTCAGGGTCCAAGGCCAAAATCTGAAATTTTGAAAAAAAAAAAAAAAATTATTTTTCTTACAGAATTAAAGAGTATATTGTCATATAGTCGGACTTGAGTCCTGGAAGTGGGAAGTACAATGCCTGCACTTTAAAGGAGGGGTTTGGGATATTGGCAGTTTGGAGGGATATGTTGTGTATCTCTATACGTATATGCTTCTAAACTGTTGTATTCTGAGCACCTCTGCAAAAGCAGTGATAATGTGTGAGTGTGGTGAAAGTGTTGAATGATGATGAAAGTATTTTCTTTTTGGGGATTTTCTTTCTTTTTTGGGTCACCCTGCCTCGGTGGGAGACGACCGACTTGTTAAAAAAAAAAAAAAAAATTGTTGTGAAGGTAATAAAACAAAAAAAAAATCTGATCAGTACTTACTGAGATACAGTACTGAGAAGTTGACCCAAAATGACCGGGTGGCGGCAACATCGACGATTTCCACATACGTACACGCATTACTTTATTTTACGTTTTTTGTAGTTTTTTCTTTTCTTTTCTAATTTTTTTCTTTTCCTACTAACATTTGGGGCCTGAGAGACCAATGCTGTATATAATGTATATATATAAACTCACTGTCTTCAACACAATAACCGCAGCCTAAAGTTATTATCATATTATTGTTTACCACTTTTGTTTATTACAATAAACATGCATAAATCTTGTATAATACTAATGTTCTATCATATATTTACATATTTACAATCACTGGACATGTTTTTAGAACTGCTGGAGCTTGTGGAACTCCTTGAAACAAGGCACCATGCACAGAGGTACCTTACATTCCTCGCACATAAACCGAGTGTCTTTGCGTCCGTCGGTTTGTTTGTGCACAGACAATGCATCTCTTCTGAGCAAATTTCTTCTTAGTTGAAGGAAGCTGTATTATGAAATGATCACCTTCCCTCCTCAAACGCTTGGGTATATTCTGAGGAGTTCGAGGACCTTGTTGTATAGGAGGTGTTGTTACCTGGTACATCATTATGAGTTGTCTGACAACAGACAAACAAAATTCACCATACAGTGGTCTGTTGCCAGTCTTCATTTGGTACATATTATATGCATTGAGCATTGAAATGCCCATGAGATGAAAGAAAAGTTTCATGTACCACTTGTAACTCTTACGAACACAATCAACAAAGCCAATCTGCATGTCACATTTGTCAACCAAGTGCATGTTTTGTGTATAATCAGTCACTGTCGCTGGTTTTTGAATATGTTCATTAGTCATTCTATCAACTTTGCCACTGTCTTGCATTTCGTTACGGTGAATGGTTGTCAAGAATGTGACATCTCGTTTGTCATGCCACCGTAATGCCATGATGTCATTGGCAGTAAACACCTGCACCTCATCACCACGAGCACCTGCGTTGAACCTGGGCATATATTTACGATTAGAACGCACTGTGCCACACACATCTGTCTTGTTCACTCGCAAGAAATCACTGAGTAAAGGGCTTGTGTACCAGTTATCGGTATATAATGTATGCCCCTTACCAAGATAAGGTGCCATCATGCTTCTCACTACGTCACCTGAGATACTCAATAACATCCTGGTATCTTTCAATGTTTTACATCCTGTGTATATAACACCAGGCCACTGTCACAGTCACAGAGTACAAACAGTTTTATACCAAAGCGTTTCCTCTTGCTCGGTATATACTGCTTGAACGACAGTCTACCTTTGAACAAAATCAAAGACTCGTCAATTACAAGATTCTTGAATGGATAAAAGTACATGTTGAACTTTTGTTTCAGATACATAAAAACATTTCTAATCTTGTATAACCTGTCACTTCTGTCAGGCCTAGTTTTGTCAGAGAAGTGCAACATATGTAACAGTAAGATAAACCTGTTCACTGGGATGATTTCACTGAAGACCGGGGTAGAAATTAGCCGATCTGTGGACCAGTTTGCTTTTATATTATGCTTATAGACATGAGGCATAAGCATTATTGTTGCAAAAAGCAAATACATTTCTGCAACATTCGTCTCTTTCCACCGGTGTAGTTTTGACTGTGGTGATATGATCGTATTTGCCATGGTGTACTCAAAATACTTGTTACTTTCCCTGACAATAGTTTCCATCAAGGGCTGGTCAAAGAATAGTTCAAAGAATTCCAGTTCATTGGCCATGGTTCCAAGGGGACAAGTAGGTAGAATTCCACTTCGAGAGTCATCAAAGTGGTGGGGCTTGGGAACAAAATTGGGATTTTGCTGCCAATCCCAGATACGGTTTGCTAGTGGATACTGGACATCATAGGCTGGTTGTGCAGGTAGTTGTGGTTGTGGTGGGCTGGTGGCTTACGCTCCGCTTTGTCCTTGAACTGAGGAGTCAGCAGCGTGGGTCCCAGCCTGGGCTGGTGAATCACGCATTGCCGTGGCACTGCCCTCACCACTACCACCACCTACTGATGCCTGTGGTCTATCCATGCCAAGTGTAGCCACATCATCCTCACTTTTACTGTCTATTCCTGGTGTAGGGCCACGGGATGTACTCCGAGATGTAGTCCGTCCCCTGGGCACTGCATAGGGAACACTACCCGAGCGCATGCGGCGGCATATATACCGACGCTTCACTGGTAAATATGTTTCCTCACTATCACTACTCGAATGATTGTCAAGAGCAATAAAATCACAATCCACGTCACTATCATCATTATTACTGAAGTCAGAGGCCTAGCCACGCGAAAATATTAGTTTTCTCTTGCGATGAGGTACAACTGACCATGACTGAGGAGTGCCCACACCAGAGGTAGAAGGTTGAGGATTGTCAGGGTTTTCTGCACTACAATGGACCCTTGACCAACGATGGCATCATCTAACGTTAAATCCGACTAGCGATACATTTTAACGCAAAAATTTTGCCTACAGCAAAAAGGGTGAGAATTACTATGGATATGAAGAAAGAGATCATTGCTAAGTATGAAAGTGGAGTGTGTGTCTCCGAGCTGGCCAGGTTGTACACAAAACCCCAATCAACCATCGCTACTATTGTGGCCAAGAAAACGGCAATCAAGGAAGCTGTTCTTGCCAGAGGTGTAAATATGTTTTCAAAACTGAGATCACAAGTGATAGAAGATGTTGAGAGACTGTTATTGGTGTGGATAAACAAAAAACAGATAGCAGGAGATAGCATCTCTCAAGCGATCATATGTGAAAAGGCTAGGAAGTTGCATGACAATTTAATTAGAAAAATGCCAGCAACTAGTGGTGATGTGATTGAATTTAAGGCCAGCAAAGGTTGGTTTGAGAGATTTAAGAATCGTAGTGGCATACATAGTGTGATAAGGCATGGTGAGGCTGCCAGTTTGGACCAAAAAGCAGCTGAAAAATATGTGCAGGAATTCAAGGAGTACATAGACAGTGAAGAATTGAAACCTGAACAAGTGTTTAATTGTGACACTGACAATGTTGTGAAACACTTAGGAATGTCATAAAGGAACGGGAGGTACAGGCCTCTATGGACAGATATGTTGTGCGACAGAGGTCCAGTGACTCTCAAGCTGGTCCTAGTGGCATTAAAAGAAGGGAAGTAACCCTGGAAAAGGACTTGACACTTCAAGTCCTAATGGAAGGGGATTCCCCTTCTAAACACTAACACCATCCACAGTCTCCCCTCCTCCCATCCCATCAATCATCACCAGATCTTCAATAAAGGTAAGTGTCATGTAATTGTACATCTTCTTCAGTTTGTGTGTATTAAAATTAATGTTTCATGTGGTAAAATTTTGTTTTTTTCAATACTTTTGGTTGTCTTACACGGATTAATTTGATTTCCATTATTTCTTATGGGGAAAATTAACTCGACTAACGATAATTTCGATTAACGATGAGCTCTCAGGAACGGATTAATATCGTTGGTCGAGGGTCCACTGTATTATCGATATCCTGGTCATTCCTTTTGGTCACTAACTGATCAAAGCCAAAGAACTCGTCTTCGTTTCCACTTCCATCAAAGTCAGAACTATCAGATAGGAAGAGGAGAGTCCCAATTTTCCTTGGAGTGAGAGCTGCCTTGCG